ACCTGGTCCCGCCCCCAGCGGGAGGGGGGCGCCGTGCACCGCCGCCGCGCGCGGCCGCCGCGCGCGGTGTAGCCGCTCTCCGGGAACCGCAGATCTCGGCATCGACCTCGCGGGGGTCGGCGTTGCGACAAAATCACGGCGTCGGGGTCCTCACTATTTTCGGCCTCTGGGGGTCCTCACCGGGCCGCGGGACTGTCAAAAAGCCACTCCGGATGACAAATCGGTCCTGGGGAAAGGGTCCAGACCTTTGGGGTCGACGTTGTGAAAAAATCACGACGTCGGGGGTCTGGGCCTCTACCCTTTCCCTCGTTACGTTGCCCCTTGTTCGGGCCTCCTGGGGAGGCTCTCGTCGCCACCGCTTGATTCGCCTCGAAGTTCTGGTCAGAACTTCAATCTCGGCATCGCTCGGGCGTGTGCATCTTTTCTCGGCGAATGCCATCGAGGAGCATCCTGGATCAGCGAGCAAACACAAGTAGCACACACGAGGTCGAAGAATGCACGGGGAAGGGACGTCCGAGCGATGGCGAGGCGGCCGCCGCGCTGGTGGAGCCGCGCTCCAGGAACGGCAAATGGCATACATCAGGGGAGGAAGAGGTTCCGATACCGCTAGCCTTGCCTTCACTATTTTCGGCCTCCAGGGCCCATCACCGAGCCGCGGGGCCGTCAACAAAAACAACTCAGGATGAATAGCTGGTCCTGGGGAAAGGGTCCTGACCTCTGGGGGTCGACGTTGTAAAAAAATCACGGCGTCGGGGGTCTGGGCCTCTACCCTTCCCCCCTTCCCTCGTTGTCCCCTTGTCGGGCCTCCTGGCAAATGGCATCAAGCAGAGCTCGCTCGTTGTCTTATTCCTTGTTTTGCCGATCGGCGCGGGCCCTCGCACCCCCTCCCCTCCCCCTGGAGTAGATCTTGGCTGTTTCTGGCGCCTGTTCCAAGCAGGTGGAGTCTCCCCCGCTAAGACGCACTGTTGCAAACAGCCGCATGAAGCAGAGGTTCGGAGCCAGACCCCCCGCCCTCCTCCCCCCCTTCCGCCCAACGTCGAAACGCCGAATAAGAAAACGCTCACATAGATCAGAGGAGGAACGAATTCCTATACCGTGAGCCTTGCCTCTCTGTCCCCCTTTTCGGGCTTCCCGGGAGGATTTTTCGTCGTCGCCACCGCTGGATTCGCCTCGAAGTTCTGGCCAGAGCGCACCCCAGGAGAGGTCTGGGGAGTAGCGATCTCAGTACCGGTTGATGTCCCGCGTGCCAGACATTTCCGGAGCCGACGGCGCCTCTGGCGCCGCCCCCCCTGGTTCAGGAGGGGAACAAAACACACAGACACAATTCATCGTCGATTCCCCAGAAAATATGGAAAAATATGGGAAGTGGGGGCGAAGACAAAAACCCAGAAAATATTGGAAAATATGGGGCATCTTTTTATTTGTGTGTATTTATTAGTGTGTCCTGGGGCCTTTTCACTGGTGCGCTCCGCGCGCCAGGGAGGGGGTCCAACGACGCTCTAAGTAATCCGCTCGGACCTCCCACATGTTTCGATTATGCCATTTTCGGTTCATCTGCAGCGCTGTTTTCGAGCCCCGGGGCCATCAAAAACGGACCCAGGGCGAACACCTCCCCGGGGAAGTGGTCGGGACCTCTGGGGCCGCGGATTGAAAACATCAGATCGGCGGACGTCGGGGAGAAGGCATCGATGCCCAGTCGAGGCTCGCAGCGCGAGGTCTGCGGCCGCCTTCCTCGGTCCTCGGCGGAACTCCAGCCTCGGGGCGCTCTTCGGCAGGTGCGCCTCGCCGAGGACGTTCCAGGGGTGCCTGGGTCGTTCCGAACGGCCGCCAGAGACCCGGGTTATGTCGGGGCTCAAGAGACCCAGACACCGGGCGTCTCGAAAAAATCGGGACAAGGGTTTTTCGTAGTTTTTGGCCTCTCGGGGCCCTCGCCGGGCCTCGGGACCGTCAGAAAACGACTCGGGATGAAAAGCCGGTCCCAGGGAAGTAGTCGGGAGGTTGGGGGCCCGCGTCTCGAAAAAATCGAGACGTCGGATGTCTGGGGACGGAGGTCAGTGCAAACGGGGGTCAGCCTGGGCGCCGGATCTTGCAGGAGGGCTGCATCGGCCAGGGCTTGGGTGCAGGAGCCTGCAGGATCTTGCAGGATTCTGCAATAATATGGACTGACTGACCTGGGTCTGGATTGACCCGGGTCAGTAGAGCCCCGATTCTTCGAGCAGGGGATCGACTGATTGATTAACCCCCAAACCTGTTTTTCCGCCAAACCTACGACAAGTACGCAGAACAGTATTCAATTGATCAGCAGAACATTCCGCGCATCTTTCGAAGATTCGACGGATCGCCAAATTTTTGGGCAGGTAAGTTCTTATGAGGAAAATCCTGGAGACCTCGCGCGGCGCCCAATGGTTGTATGATCCAATTCGCCCGGGGATGCTCCGACGTGAGCCAGACCCGAATCCGACGTGAAGCCGACGTGCGCCCGACGAACATCCGAGGTGGATCCGACCTACAGTGGGTCTCAAGCTGCCACGCGAGGCCTCCATTGGGTTTTCCTCGTGGCAGCTCTGCAGCCGATCCCCCACTCGAGCTGTGGCCCGAGAAGGGCAGGCAGACCCTCGAAGCATGAGTTCTTCATAACGTCGACCCTCAGAGGCCTCGACCCCCTCTCGGCCGGCAGGACCCCCCCCCCCCCAAGCGGCCCCCAAGAAGAGGCCCTACGACCCCCTCTGTGGGAGGTGCCCCAGGTGGCCCCCCCCAAGAAAGAGGCCTCCCCCCCCGAAAGAGGCCGCCAGGCGGCCGCAAGGAGGCCCCCCTCGGACCCCCGACGTCGCGCTTCTTTCTTGACGTCGACCCCCAGAGGTCTTCTGGACCCCCCCCTCTCCCGGGCCCGGGTTTTCGACCCGAGTCGAGTTTTCACGGTCCCGCGAGGGCCAGCAAGGGCCTCCAGAGGCCGAAAATGTGAAGAATCCTCCCGCCGTGATTACCTAACAGCGAAGACTGATAGGTTTCTAGTAGGGTCAAAAGAGAGCATCATGACGCCCCAGGGGGGTCTGGGCGCGATCCGGGGGAGGGTGCCGTTTTTTATTTGTTTGCCTACAGTTGCACATTTCGTGGTCTTCGAGGTCCCAGAACTCCATTCCCGGGCCACATTCTGAATGCCCGGAGCCAACTGTAGGCCACTTCGTGGTCTTCGAGTTCCCAGAACACCATTCCCAGGCCACATTTTGAATGCCCGGAGCCAGCTGTAGGCCACTTCGTGCTCTTCGAGTTCCCAGAACTCCATTCCCGGGCCACATTTTGAATGCCCGGAGCCAACTGTAGGCCACTTCGTGGTCTTCGAGTTCCCAGAACTCCATTCCTGGGCATGATTTTGAATGCCCGGAGCCAACTGTAGGCCACTTCGTGTTCTTCGAGTTCCAGAACTCCATTCCCGGGCCACATTTTGAATGCTGAGGCAGGCTGATGCTGAGGCTGAGGCAGGCTGAGGCTGAGGCAGGCTGAGGCTGAGCCGAGGCTGAAGGCAGACTGAGGCTGAGGCTGAAGCAGACTGAGGCTGAGGCTGAGGCAGGCTGAGGCTGAGGCTGAGGCAGGCTGATGCTGAGGCAGGCTGAGGCTGAGGCTGAGGCTGAGGAGGCTGAGGCAGGCTGAGGCTGAGGCCGAGGCTGAAGGCAGACTGAGGCTGAGGCTGAAGGCAGGCTGAGGCTGAGGCTGAGGCAGGCTGAGGCTGAGGCTGAGGCAGGCTGAGGCTGAGGCAGGCTGAGGCTGAGGCTGAGGCTGATGCAGGCTGAGGCTGAGGCAGGCTGAGGCTGAGGCCGAGGCTGAAGGCAGACTGAGGCTGAGGCTGAAGCAGGCTGAGGCTGAGGCTGAGGCAGGCTGAGGCTGAGGCTGAGGCAGGCTGATGCTGAGGCAGGCTGAGGCTGAGGCTGAGGCTGATGCTGAGGCTGCGAGGCTGAGGCAGGCTGAGGCTGAGGCCGAGGCTGAGGCTGAGGCAGACTGAGGCTGAGGCTGAAGGCAGGCTGAGGCTGAGGCTGAGGAGGCTGAGGCTGAGGCAGGCTGAGGCTGAGGCCGAGGCTGAAGGCAGACTGAGGCTGAGGCTGAAGCAGGCTGAGGCTGAGGCTGAGGCAGGCTGAGGCTGAGGCTGAGGCAGGCTGATGCTGAGGCTGAGGCTGAGGCTGAGGCTGATGAGGCTGAGGCTGAGGCAGGCTGAGGCTGAGGCTGAGGCTGAGGCTGAGGCTGCAGAGGCTGAGGCTGAGGCAGGCTGAGGCTGCAGGCTGAGGAGGCTGAGGCTGAAGGCAGACTGAGGCTGAGGCTGAAGCAGGCTGAGGCTGAGGCAGAGGCAGGCTGAGGCTGAGGCTGAGGCAGGTTGATGCTGAGGCAGGGTGAGGGGCTGAGGCTGATGCAAGGTGAGGCTGAGGCAGGCTGAGGCTGAGGCCGAGGCTGAAGGCAGACTGATGTTGAGGCTGAAGCAGGCTGAGGCTGAGGCTGAGGCAGGCTGAGGCTGAGGCAGGCTGAGGCTGAGGCCGAGGCAGGCTGAGGCTGTGACTGCGACTGCCGTTGCCACTGCGACTGCCCTCGCGAGTGCGACTACGACCGCGAGAACAGCAGAATTCTGCAACAGGATTCTCATCTGAATCTTGATGGGAATGCCTCCAGATACGGTAGGTTTGCGTCGTGTCGACCAGCGGCGACCCCAGCGCGGGCGTTCAAGGTTGAACGCCGCCGGCGACCCAGAATCGATCGATGTTGAACGATTGGACGTTGCGGAAATGGCCGATCGTTCAAGGTTGAACGATCCCTGCGGTGTCAAAAACCAACGCCGGGGTCGGCACGACACGAACCTGCCGTATGCTCCTACACATCGCTGTTAGGTTGCTTTGCCGGGATATTTTTGTTCATGGCCCGAGGGGGTCTGGGCTCGGCGATCGATCAGCGACGAGGGGCCGATGCTCCCCCTCTCAGCAAGGGCTCCCACGAGGGCGCGAAGTTATTCGCGCTTCGCGCTTCGCGGTCCTCCTTCCTCCTCCCCCTCCTCCTCGTCCTCCTTTTCTCCCTTTGGGGGGGCGGCGCGAGGGCGCGATGGAGGTTTTAGAACGGGTTGAGCAGAGGGGCCATACGTGTGATGTTGGGCAAATAGAATATGCTGCCTGTCACTGGTGTGCACTCGCCAACACCCTGCTGCCTATCTCCGCTCAAGTTGTTTTTGGTCTGAAGCAGGCCTGATGGGCCCCCCGGCGGCCCTCATCAGTCACCTCCAGACCGCTGGGATACGTGCTCTGGAACTGCTGGCGCTGCGGCAGTCGATCATCTCGGGGGTGCCGCCGTGCCCGGCAGTGTCGCTGGCGTGCCCGCTGGCGAACCTGACCTGCCCGCCGCAGGTCTGCCCGGCGCTGACGTGCGCGCCGCCGCCCTGCCCTCCTCCAGTGTGCCCGGCGCCGCTGGTCAACCTCTCCTGCCCGTCTGCAGGGGGAATCGTGGGAGCCGGCGAGTTCGACTCACCCTCGGCGTGCTGGGGGACTCTCGCTGGGATCGCGGCTGGGCTGGGGCTCGGCCGCGCCGCCCCGCGCCGCGGGCGTGCTGCTGACGCCGAGAGAGATGATGATCGCGCACCGTCCCCTGCCCCCGCTCGCCGCGGAGGGGGAGTGGTGCGCTGACTTGGCGGTCGGCACGCTGGTCCGGGTCTCCTACGCCGGGGAGACCATGGACCACACGAGGGTCGTGCTGTGGCCCAGCCGCCGCATGGACCAGAGGCGACGAGTCCGAGGGCGACACGCCTACTGGGTGCTCTCCGCGGACGGCGACGTCTGGGAGGAGGACCTGAGCGGGAGGAATGCAGCGACTGGGCCGTCGGGCGGGTCGCTGCTGGACCAGGCGACGGGGAACCCGCCCGACGGCCGCCGCCTCTATCGGTTCCGTGCGCGGCCCAGCCTGGACGAGGTTGTGGAGCTGGCGGCGGAGTGTCGGGCCACTATGCTCAGGCGTGGGCAGGCCGAGGCGGAGGGGCCGACGAGAGTGGTGCTGGCCGACGGGGCGGTGCGCCCCGGCCACGACTACTTCCCGTGGCTGGTGGCCCCGCGCCCGTGGGTGCTGACGGAGCCGCTCCCTGGCATGCCCATCGGGACCGTGGTGGATCCGCTCCCGGTGGGGGCGCTGCGCGACGGGAGCCGGGCCCTCGGCCTGCTCCCGAGCTGCGGCCGCTGGGCGAGGCTCGAGCAGGTGGACGAGGGCCAGATCGTCGAGTGGGCTGCCAAGAGGACGAAGGAGCTGCTGCTCGACCTCGGCGCGGAGCCCGACGCCATGGGCGCCGCCGAGCCGGTCGGCGGGACTGAGACCCCTCCGCTGCGCGAGGCTCGCTCGTCTGGAGGCGACCGCCTAGGCGAGAAGCTGGGGCTGACCGCGGAGGAGCCCGCCGAGTCGGCCGCAGGGAAGGACGACGCCAGCGGCGACGCGCGCACGCTGTGGGTCGACTGGGACGAGCAGGGCGAACGCAGGAAGGAGTTCAAGCGGGCGGTGGCTGAGAGCTCGGATGTGAAGTGGGACCATCACAGGCTGCCCGCCGACCGCACTTGCCTCCACACGTGCAAGATGATGGTGAACTTGAGTGGGTCCCCGCGCGCGTGGCTGGAGCGCTTTCTCAGGGAAAAGGGGATAGCTTCTACGGATCGAGTTGCGCACGAACTCCGAGTGTTGTGCGACATCCTGGAGGAAGCAGGCGAGTTTGACCAGATCAATCTCGGAGGACTGGCCTGCTTGGAAGTGGCCGCCCGCCGGCTGAACCTGCTGGTGGACGCGCACAAGAGCGGGCCGGCCTCGTACTCGAACGCGAAGTACCTCTCGCCGCTGACCGACGTGGACCAGTTGATGGCTCCTGGCTTGCGGTCTCACGTGTCGAGGCGCGCCAAGGAGGAGTACGAGCTGATGCAGGGCGACAGGAAGGCCGAGGCGGTTGCTGCTGGGGCGGCTGGCGCGCGGGTTCCACCGCGCGAGGGGGCCGATGACTCGGCCAAGGGTGGCAAGGGCGGCGGCGGGGGCGGCCGGGGTAACAAGACCCGGGCGCGAGCCCTCGCGCCGCCCGTGCAGGCATGACGGACCAGTCTCAGCCGGCGGAGTGGGCCCCTGCCGGCTGGGCTAACACATCGGCCCGGCGAGCGCCGCTGGCCCTGGCGAGCGGGGATAGGGACCTCTTCCCCCTCCCTCGCCTGGCCAGGCCGCCCGCCAGCAGGGGCGGCAGCCGCGCCCGGATTGCTGGCGCTCGGCGGCGGCGCGAGCACGAATTGGTGAACGGCGCGATCGACTCTCTCAACTGGCTTGCTGGATGGGAGCCTGACGACGTGGGCCCGCCGCGCTCCCTGGACGCCATGGGGGGCAAGCATGCTGGGATCGTGCAGTGGGTGGCCAGCGAAGCTCTTCGGCGCCAAGCCGCAGCTCCCAGCCCCTGTCCGTCCCAAGAGGCATCGCTCAGTGCGTTGCTCAAGGGGTGCTCGATCTACGACACGTCGGGCTCCCCGAGGAACCTGGCCTCCTTCGTCCGCGAGCGCGTGTCCTTGCCCCCTTCGGTTGTCGGCTGCCTCCAGGTGGACGATATCGTGGGCGAGGCCGGCCGCACCTACCTGAAGGAGAATCAAAAGCGTATGAGGCGGCCGATCGAGGAGATCGATTTTGACAGCTTGCCGACTCCCTATTTTGACCCGCTGCTGAAGCGGAACAAGAAGATGTACCACAACTTTTTGAAGGATCTCTCGTCCCGCGGGCTCTTGCTCGCCACCTTGTCTCCCGCAGAGCAGGCTGGCCTGTTCTTCGTGAAGAAGGCCGACAGCGACAAGATGCGCATGATCGTGGATGCGCGCCGGGCGAACGCTTGGTTCGGCGTGCCCCCCAGCGTCCAGCTCCTGTCGTGCGAGGGGTTCGGCAGGGTGGAGGTGAAGCTCCCAGAGGGCGTCGCCTTCGGCTCGGCGCGGGGAGAGGAGCTGCTGAACGGCTTCAAGCTCTTCTTGGGCATGACGGACGTCAAGGACTGCTTCTACAGGATGCGCATCCCGGTGAGCCTGGCGAAGTTCTTCTCGCTGCCCGCCGCCCCGGCTCACGTCCTGGGCCTGGAGGGGCACGAGCTGGAGGGGGCGAGGCTGGGCTGCGACACCCTCGTCTTCCCCTGCATCGGGGCTCTCCCCATGGGATTCTCTTGGTCCCTTTTCCTCGCCCAAGACGCGAACGAGGAGAGGGTCGTCCGGTCTGATCCGTGGCCAGGGGGAGACACGGCAGTCTCGGAGCGGGTCCTGATGAGTGATCGCGGACCGCCGCTCGTCGTGGAGGTTGAGCCCGGGCTGCACGGGGGTGCCTGCGTGTACGTCGACAACATGGGGGTGCTCGCCCCCTCGGAGGGCCTCGCCAAGAGCGCCCTCGAGAGCTGGACTGGTCTCTTCGAGGGGGTCGGCCTTGACTTGCACAAGAGCTCGGTGGGCTCGGGCGCGTGCGAGGCGCTCGGGACCAAGCTTGACCTCGAGCTGATGAGGTCGGGCGTGAGCGACGGACGGTTCTGGAAGGTGTACCTGGGACTGGGGGGCCTGCTAGCCCGCGGCCGAGCGACAGGGCGCGCCTTGGAGGTGGTGCTGGGCCACTGCACCTTCTGCGGGCTGGCCCTCCGAGGGTCTCTGAGTTGCTGGCACGCCTCGTACCGCTTCATCCAGCGGCACTACCTGGAGCCCGCCCGGCTGTGGGCAGAAGTCGTGAAGGAGATCAAGATGTTCCGCGGGCTGCTCACCCTGATGGTTCAGGACTGGTGGCGGCCATGGAACTGCTGCGTGCTCCAGACCGACGCGAGCGAGAGCGGCTGGGGCATGGCGCAGTCGTTCTGGCCGCAGCACGTGGTGGAGCAGGTTGGCCGGCTGCCTGAGCGAGCCCGTTTTCGTTCGGCGCTGGGCAGACCGGCGCGAGAGAGCGCGCTCGCTGCCGCCAACCTTGCTTGGGACAGCTCGGGCGCCCTGTGCAGTTTTGAGGACATGAAGAATCCTGACTCTCTTGCGTCTGACCCCCTGTCCTCGTGGGAGCTCGACCCCGGGTTCGCTGAAGTGCCCTGGCAGTGGCTCCGAAAGGGGGCCTGGGAGACCGTCCGGTCCGGGGTCTGGCGTTTTGCTGAGGACATCCTGATCCTTGAAGCCAGGGCCCTCGTAAAATCGATCCAGCGGCTGGCAAAGACCGCGCACGGGGTCTGTGTGCGACAGCTCTTTCTGTCCGACAATATGTCTGTGGTGCTATCCTTTTCCAGGGCTCGTTCGTCCCGCTTCAGCTTGCTGGTTCAGATCCGTCGATTCTACGCCTATGCGATTGCGTTGGGGATTACGCCCGCTATTCGATGGATCCCCTCGGAGTTTAATGAAAGCGATGAAGGCAGCAGGGTTTTTTCTGAGAGTGACAGTAATATTCTCACATCCCTCTTGGATGAGAAGTTCCAGGCCGATCTGAATCTGCTCACCCGTCCTCCAAGAGCCGTCCCTGTGAAAGACAATACGCGGGATCCTCTCCGTAGCCGTTTTGGCCCACACCATTCTTTCTTGGCTGAGATTCCCGAGGCGCCCGACTTGCCAGAGACGGCGGGCCATGGCCCCCGAGAGGGCTCGGGTGCTGGCCGAGCCGGTGCCGCAGGCGCGGACGCCCCCCCAGCGGGCAGGCGCTCGGCGGCCGGCCGCACGGACTCGTGCGCTGGCAGGCGCGGCAGCGCAGGCGGGCTCGCGCTCGGACCCGAGCGGTGCGAGGGCGATCGCCAGCCCCGGGGCGCTGGGCCGGACGCGGGTGCTGGTGCCGGCCCCCCTCTTGCCTTCAAGGAAGAGGGCCAGCCAGGCTGGACGGCATCTCTCGGCCCTCGACGAGAGGGACGCGAACGGGCTGGACCTCGCTGGAGACGCCGGGGAGGACGCCGAGGGCGACAGCAGCTCCAGCGGCTCCGACTCGGTGGTGGAGCAGCTGGGGCGGACTCGGGCCCGAATGCGGCAGCTGCGCGCGCGGAGGGCGCACCGGCGGGCGAAGCTGTACGCCGATGCTATCCTGGCGGCGCAGGGCGAGGGCGTGAGCCTCCTGGAGACCTTGGCGGTGACCCAGGCGACGCAGGTGAGGTACCAGCGATATCTCGATCGTTTCTACTCTCGTGCCGGCCTGAGCCGGAGGGAGATCCTGGCGAAGCCGGACACGGAGATCGACGAGCTCATGTGCAATTACATGACCGAGAAATACTTGCAGGGCGAGCAGAGCAACTACGGAGACCAGACGGTCGCGGCCTGGGTCAGCGCGAACCCGGACTTCGGGCGCGTGGGAGGTCGCAAGCTGCCGCGGACCTGGCGGGCGCTGAAGGCCTGGCGCAGGCTGACTCCGGGCAGGCGGCGGAAGGCCCTTGCCCTTCCGGTCTGGTGCGGGCTGGCCTGGAGGCTGGCGCAGCGAGGACACCTACGCCTGGGCATCTTCTTGATGATAGGCGTATCGATCTATGGTCGGCCCTCGACTTTGCTGGCCGCCCGGCGGTGCGACCTCGTGCCTCCGTCCCCTGGTGTCAGCCGGCACTGGGCTCTGTTGACCCACCCGCTGGAGCGGAAGAGGCCGAGCAAGCGTGGGCACTTCGACGAGGGCTGCCCCCTGGACTCGCCGTACCTCCAGGGCTTAGACGAGGTGTTCGGGCGGCTGGCCTCGACGACGTCGAAGGAGCCGCTGTGGAACTTCAGCTACCCCGAGGCAGCGACGCTGCTCAAGGAGGCGGCAGAGGACCTCGGGGTGGCCCCAGTGACATTGTACCAGATGAGACACTCGGGCGCCAGCATCGACCTGGCGAAGGGCTGGCGCAGTCTGACCTCGGCTCAGCGACGCGGGGAGTGGACGCAGGCGAAGTCAATGCACCGCTACGAGCACAGCAGCAGGCTCGGCAGCGACTATGCAAAGCTCGACCCCCGGCTGCGCGCGACGTGCGAGGAGGCGGAGAGGCAGCTGGCGCTCATCCTGACGGACCGTCCCCACAACGTGCAGCTGTGGCGCAAGTGAGCCAGCTACACCTGGGCTACCGAGGAGGCCGCTCCCGTGGCCGCCTTCGCCGCTCGCGCCTCGGCAAGGGCCAGTACCTCGGCGATCTTTTCGCAGGCTGCCGAGCTGTGTCTCGGGCGGCCGAGGCCGAGGGCTTCCGTGCGAGAAGTTGGGACGTCATCTATGATGCAGAGTGGCAGGATTTGTTGTCGCCGGCCGTGCTGCGGGCGATCAAATCTGACGCTCGAGCTGGCCGGCTGGTGGCCGCGGCAATGGCCCCTCCATGCCAGACTTTTTCCCTCGCGCACGACAGGTCGAGGCCGGTGCGCAGCCGCGAGAAGCCATGGGGCTTCCCTGCCTCCGAGCTGACGCCTGCCGATGCCGAAGCAGTGGAATTAGGCAACCGCCTCGCTCGGGTTGCGCTTTCCCTCTTCAGATTCTTTTTGAAGCTGGGGGTTCCCGTAATCCTCGAACATCCCTTGACGAGCCGGCTGTGGCATACTGCTGAGGTGTGCGACTTATCGCACCATAGACATGTCTATCTGGCTGAACTGGACCAGTGTCAGTATGGAGCAAGATGGAAGAAGCCCACACGGCTCCTCTGTGCACACGTGAATCACGAAGATATAATTAAGCTCACCCGTCGATGCCGACCAAAAGGCTGTATATGTTCTAAGACTGGGAAACCCCATTGGCAACTCAGCGGCGGGGGGCCAGGCGGCCTCCGCCGTACCCGCATTGCTTCTGAGTACCCTCCTGGTCTGGCACGAGCAATGGTCTCTACCCTTTTAGCTAGTACTGTTGAAAAGCGAGCTTGTCACTCCCACCCTTTCTCTCCCCACCCTAGCGAACATCCTACCTGGATAGCTTCGGGATGATTTGGGAGATTGAGTTTTAAGGCATGCCTTTAAGCTCAAAGCCTCTGGCCATGACGAGTCCAGAGTTTCGCTAGATTCAGTCTCCGCAAGAAAAATGGGACCGTTGCTCTGGAGGTTTTAGAACGGGTTGAGCAGAGGGGCCATACGTGTGATGTTGGGCAAATAGAATATGCTGCCTGTCACTGGTGTGCACTCGCCAACACCCTGCTGCCTTTCTCCGCTCAAGTTGTTTTTGGTCTCCCGCCCCCCCAACCCTCGGGGAGATTGAGTTTTAAGGCATGCCTTTAAGCTCAAAGCCTCTGGCCATGACGAGTCCAGAGTTTCGCTAGATTCAGTCTCCGCAAGAAAAATGGGACCGTTGCTCAGTTATTCGCGCTTCGCGCTTCGCGGAGCGCGAAGCGCGAAGTTGGGAGCCCTAGCCGAGAAGTCTGTTCGCAGCGCGAGGGGGTCTGGGCCCCCAGAAGGCCCGCCTCCCCAGACATCTGGCTGCTCCATTTTGTTGCGATGCGTGGGCCCCAGAGGTCCGGACCGCTTCCCCAGGGCCGGTCCTTCGTACCGAGTCGTTCTGTGACGCTCCCACACGAGGCCGAAGACGGGCCCAGCGCCGCCCGCTCCAGGCTCTGTCGGAGCGTCGGATCTCCCCAGACATCGGGCGTCTCAAAAAAATCGAGACAAAGGTTTTTACCTAACAGCGAAGACTGATAGGCTTCTAGTAGTGTCAAAAGAGAGCATCATGACTCCCCAGGGGGGTCTGGGCGGGATCCGGACGGGTTGCCCCGGAAAACCGGGGACTCCCCAGAACATTATCCCAGGCTACATTTTGACTGCCCGGAGCCAACAGGACACCATTCCCAGGCCACATTTTGAATGCCCGGAGCCAGCTGTAGGCCACTTCGTGTTCTTTGTTTTCCCAGAACACCATTCCCAGGCCACATTGTGAGTGCCCGGGGCCAGCTGTAGGCCACTTCGTGTTCTTTGTTTTCCCAGAACACCAATCCCAGGCCACATTGTGAGTGCCCGGGGCCAGCTGTAGGCCACTTCGCGTTCTTCGTGTTCCCAGAACACCATTCCTGTACTATATTTTGCTTGCCCGGAGCCAACTGTGGCCCACTTCGTGATCTTCGTGTTCTCAGAACACCAGTCCTGTGCCATATTTTGAATGCCCGAGCTGAGGCAGGCTGAGGCCGAGGCAGGCTGAGGCCGAGGCAGGCTGAGGCTGAGGCTGAGGCACGCCGAGGCAGGCTGAGGCTGAGGCTGAGGCAGGCAGACGCTGAGGCTGAGGCAGGCTGAGGCTGAGGCTGAGGCTGAGGCTGAGGCTGCAGGCTGAGGCTGAGGCTGAGGCTGACGCTGAGGCTGAGGCAGGCTGAGGCTGAGGCTGAGGCCGAGGCAGGCTGAGGCTGAGGCCGAGGCAAGCCGAGGCAGGCTGAGGCTGAGGCTGAAGCTGAGGCAGACTGAGGCTGAGGCTGAGGCTGTTGCTGAGACTGAGGCAAGCTGCGGCTGAGGCAGGCTGAGTCTGAGGCTGAGGCAGGTTGAGGCCGAGGCTGAGGCCGAGGCAGGCTGAGGCTGAGGCCGAGGCAAGCCGAGGCAGGCTGAGGCTGAGGCTGAGGCTGAGCGTGAGGGTGATGCTGAGGCAGGCTGAGGCTGAGACAGGCTGAGGCAGGCTGAGGCTGAGGCAGGCTGAGGCTGAGGCCGAGGCAGACTCAGGCCGAGACAGGCTGAGACTGAGGCTGAGGCTGAGGATGAGGCCGAGGCAGGCCGAAGCTGAGACAAGGTGAGGCTGAATGGGGGGGAGGGGGGAAAGGGGGGGGGAGGGGAAGCTGAGGCAGGCTGAGGCCGAGGCAGGCTGAGGCCGAGGCAGGCTGAGGCTGGGGCTGAGGCAAGCCGAGGCAGGCTGAGGCTCAGGCTGAGGCTGAGGCTGAGGCTGAGGCTGAGGCTGAGGCTGAGGCTGAGGCAGGCTGAGGCTCAGGCTGACGCAGGCTGAGGCCGAGGCAGGCTGAGGCTGAGGCTGAGGCAGGCTGAGGCTGAGGCTGATGCAGGCTGAGGCTGAGGCTGAGGCAAGCCGAGGCAGGCTGAGGCTGAGGCTGAAACTGAGGCAGGCTGAGGCATCCGTAGGAATCCATAGGAATCCTCAGGAATCCTATGGAATCCGTAGGCAGAGTTAAGCATCCTCAGGAATCCTTAGGAATCCTTAGGAATCCCTAGGAATCCCTAGGAATCAGGATTCCTAATGATTCCTAAGGTTTTCTAAGGATTCCTATGGATGCCTAAGGATGCCTTAGGAATCCCAAGGAATCCTTCGGATTCCATTGGATCCTAAGGCCGTTGCCACTGCGACTGTCATTGCGAATGCGACTGCGACTGCGAGAACGGCAGAATTCTACAATTGGATTATCACCTGAATCTCAAGGGGAATGCTTCCAGAGATGCTTATACACATCGCTGTTAGGTTGCTTTGCCGGGATAATTCTTAGTTTTTGGCCTCTCGGGGCCCTCGCCGGGCCTCGGGACCGTCAAAAAGCGACTCGGGATGAAAAACCGGTCCCAGGGAAGTGGTCGGGAGGCCGGGGGCCCGCGTCTCGAAAAAAAATTTAGACGTCGGATGTCTGGGTCTGCAGGTCCGCCCCCGCCTCGGGCCCCCCGCCACGGCGGCGGGTCCCACAGGCCGAGCCGCGCGCCTGTCCTTCCCGCGGGGTGGGCTGTCCGCCGAGCCTCGCCCCGGGCAGGGCGGCCCCGCAGAGAAGGCGGCCCGCCGGCGGCGGCCGCCCCGGGCTGCCGGGCGAGGAGGCCGCCCTGACTGACTCTTCGGCGGCGAGCGAGGGGGGGGGGGAAGCCAGAAGGAGAAGGCCCTCCCAGAAGGCGGCGGGGCTTCTCGGGAGCCCTCCGCGCCTTCTGAGCAGTTTCTGCTGCCGTCTTCGGGGGAGGCTTTGAAGGCTTGTCCCAAGGCTGGGGGACTTCCGAGCCTTCTGAGAAGGCCCCGCCCCTTCTCTCAGAGCGTGCATGACCTACCTCGCTTTCGCTTCCGGGCACATCCAAGCCATACCACGCGCCTCCCCGTCAAGCGGCCTGACCGGTACAGGCCGCAGCTTGGCATCTCTTGGAAGCGAGGGTGGCCAAAAGCGAGGTAGGTTTGTCTGCCCCCTATTCTCGGGCCGCGACAAAAGCGGGGGGGCTGGCGAAAGGGGGGGATTGGGAAAGGGGGGGGTACGAAATTTGCTGCATGCAGCTGGTTTCGGCCTCACCGAGGGGCCCATTCCTCGATACATAGCGCCTCCCGGCGCCGGGAGGCGCCGGGAAAATCAGCTACGTGAGCTGATTCTCCCCCCCCCCATTTGCTACCCCCCCCTTTCGCCCGACCCCCTATTCTCACTTCCCCCCCGCGCTCGCCGCCGAGCCGGGCGAGGAGGCCGAGAGAGCTCTCGGACGCCGCCGGGGCGGCCGCGGGAGGGCCATGCTCCTCCGTCCGGGCCACGATTCGAGGCCCAGACCCCCTTCGGGCAAGGACAAATCATGGCGGGAGGCTGTTCCGTATTTTCGGCCTCTGTCAGGAGGGGAAGAAACACACAGACACAATGAATCGTCGACTCCCCCAGAAAGTATGGGAAGATGTGGGCAGTGGGGGGAAGACGAGAACCCAGGAAATATGGGAAGATATGGGGGATCTTTTTTATTTGTGTGTATTTATTTGTGTGTCCCAGGGCCCCTTCACTCTGGAGGCCCTTGCCAGCCCTCGGGACCGTCAAAACACGACTCGGGACGAAAGCCCGGTCCCGGGAAAGGGGTCCAGAAGACCTCTGGGGGTCGACGTCAAGAAGGAAGCGCGACGTCGGGGGTCCGAGGGAGGCCTCCTTGCGGCCGCCCGGCGGCCTCTTTCGGGGGGGGAGGCCTCCTCTTTCTTGGGGGGGGGCCACCTGGGGCACCTCCCACAGAGGGGGTCGTAGGGCCTCTTCTTGGGGGCCTCTTGGGGGGGGGGGGGGGGGCTGCTGGCCGTCTCAGGGGCCACATCTTCTACGGGACGTGAAAACGACCACAGCCACTGCTTTTCTTTTGTTCCCGCCTCCCAGTCAGCAGAAACGAAGCAGTGGTTGTGGTCATTTTCGTTGAGCTTGGACCACAGAGACTGCTCCTTTTTCGGCCGGCTGGAAGGCGGCGCAAACAAGAAGCAGTGGTTGTGGTCACTTTCACGTCCCGCATCTTTTCCCCGGCGAGGACCAGCGACGCAGAGAAAGGGGGTCGTCTGCCCCGACATTGGCGCGTAAGCTGTCCGCGTGAAGTCGCGCGTGAGCGCCCTCGTCTCCAAAGTGGCGTTCCGCGCTGGCGGCCCGCGTAAGCTGCGGCGTAAGGTCGCTATGTCGTCTCGCGTAAGACCCGCTTTCGATCGTCGCCCAAATGCATTTCGAGGGTCACCTGTTTGGCCCCTAGTGCCCTAGTGGGGATCCCTTGGGAGCCTCCTGGGCCCCTCCTGTTGGCCTCGCAGGCCCTCTTGGGCGGGTCCTGGGTGCCTTGGGCCGTTCTGGACGCCCTAAAGGGCAAAACTCCAAATATCTGGGGATCGAGCAAAACACCGCTATGCTCTGATAGTGATGTTGGTCTGCTGGGCTGGCCACCAGGGCCTCCAAGACGCTTTAAGATGCTCCCAAGAGAGCTGGGTGCTCTAACGCTTTTTCTTTAGCATTTCTTGGAAGTCTCCGGGGGAACGTGCGGGTCGGCTTTGACTGGCTTGGCCTCCGGGGGGCCCGCGCGAGGAGCACCAAGAGCGCCCAGCAGCGTCAACTATTGCGGCAAGTTGGTACCCCAGCTTATGGAGACTCTCCTAGTCCATTTGACGAACACATGTCACATATGCATGAGACTTCGGGCAATCCACGTGCTGACGGCAGTGCTGCGGATCATCGACGAGGCTCTGCGTCATTTCTCCATCCCAGGATCCAGTATTGGACTGCTGCCGCAAACAGGCTCACCATGTCTTCGGCCTGTGGGGCGCGCAAATTAAGCAACGTGTTCTTCATGATGCAACATATTGAGGCTACAGAGATCTGTCGCGAAGGGGTTGCTTTGGGGTTCCCTCTGCAGCGTGAGTACAAAGCGAGCGTGAGCCATGCAAGCAACGCAGCCTCGAAGAAACCGCTTCAAGAATGATGTTCCGCGCGGAACCCGCAGAGTCAGCAGGCAGTCTGCTAACGCTTTTGTGTGCACTTCTGGCAGTTGTGCGTCTGACTGGCTGGTACCTACTGGCTCGACACCAACACTCAAGCGTGCTGGTTGGTATGCCTTTTGCTGCCAGGGCGCGCTGCTGGGAAAGCCATGCATCTTGTTCAGGCTCTTGTCAACGGGTTGCCTTTTGTGCGCACTTCAGATCAAATACCGAGGTGCTCCTTCATCAATTTTGCGTCCAACAGGTTCCTACCCACTGACTGGACGCCAGCACTCAAGCGTGCTGGTTGGTAAGCTGTTCGCTTCGAGGGCGCGCCGCTGGGAACACGGGCCATCCATTATGTCGTCGCTTCCACCTCTCTTTTTTTTGTTCTCTCTCTCTCTCTCTCTCGCTCTCGCTCTCTCTCTCTCTGCTTTCTCGGCTATTTCTGCCGAAGGTCAATCTCATTGTTCCCGACGCACCAGACCGCACGGAGGACTCTTCTTCTTCTCTCTCTCTCACTGTTTCTCTCCCCTTCTCTCTCCTCCGCCCTCCTCCCTTCCCTCCCTCATCCTCCTCCACCTTCCTTGATTTGGGCAAATGCAGGGGATGGAGAGGAGGCAGTGGTTGAGGAGAATGGGGGGATCGAAGTGAGGATGGGGTCGCGGAGAAGAAGAGGGAGCCAGGAGGCGGAATAAGGGGGAGAGACGGACGCAGGGAGGGAGTGCGGCAGGCCAAGCGAGCAGACAGTACAAGGATTTGGGTAGAGGGTGGGGATGGAGGAGGATGAGGGGTACGAAGAGGACGATTACGAGGAGAACGTGGAGGAGGAGGGGGAGAAGGAGGAGGAGAAGGAGGAGGAGGAGGACAAGGTTGAGGAGGCCAATGTCATCGAATGGCCCTCGGCCCATCCCCGCCACCGTGTCTGGGTTGTGGGTCAAAGGCCTTCAGGAGGTTCGTTGGGCCGTCTCGGGGGGCCCCTCGGGGGCCCTTTGGGGGCCCTGTGGAGGCCCCTTGGGAGCCGTTTTGGGGGCCTTCTGGGGCGTCTTGAGGGCCTCTCAGGGAGGTCTCGTTGGGCCTCCTGTCGCCTCCTTGGGGCCTCCTTGGCGCCCCCTTGGGGCCTCCTGGGGGCCGCTTGGGGCGGACGGCTCGGATGTTCCGTTCGTCCTCTCGGGCCCTTCTTGGGGTTGCTGGCCACTCTTAGGGGCCATCGCGGGACCTTCTTGGGCCGTCTTGGGGCCCTCTCGGGCCGTCTCGGGCCTCTCCTGAGAGCTTTTTGGGAGGTTTTGGGGGGCGGTCTTGGGGCCCTCGTGAGAGACGTCCTGGGGCGTCGAGGCTCCTGCAAGCGAGAACCCCCGAGCCATTGGAAAATTACGCGGGGAAGGAGTGATTTTGGCTTCTCGAGGCCCTCTCCCTCGTAGGAAGGCTCACGGAGGCCTCTCGGGACGTCTTCGGTGCTTCTGCGGCCGACGGGAGATCATCTCCTGGGCGCCTTGGGCCGATCGTGCGGCGACTCGGGGCCCTCCTGGACCGTCTGGGGAGCCCCCTGCCATCTTGGCCTTTTTTGGGGGGGCCTCCTTGGGCCCAAGAGAGAGTCCTGCGAGGGGACGCCGCGTGTGCCCCGGGAGCCCCGCGAGGCGCCCTCCTGGACCGTCGGGGGAGCCCCCTGCCATCTTGGCCCTTTTGGGGGGGCCTCCTTGGGCCCAAGAGTCACCACCCACCAACCCACCCCAACCCAACCCGAAGGCCCCGATTTGCCATCCATTTCCAGTGGGGGGGGGGTCGGGGAACATCGAAAAAACACGTATGGAACCCATACCCCCCCCAACCCGAAATTCGGGTCTTCGGGTTGGGTTGGGGTGGTCTGGTAGGTAGTCAAAGAGAGAGTCCTGCGAGGGGACGCCACGTGTGCCCCGGGAGCCCCGCGAGGCGCCCAAGGGGTCCACGCGACGCGCCCCCGCCGATTCGGCAGCTGTGGGCCCGGGGTCCCTGGAAGGGTCCTCAGGCTCGACGACTGAGGCGCCAGGGGATCCAACAGTCGGGCGGAGCCAGGACGAGGATATATATATATATATATATATATATATATATATATATGTGTGTGTATATATATATATATGTAATATATGTATATATATATATATATATATATATATCCGTTCCAGAGCGTTCTGGAACGCTCTTTGAGCGTTCCAGAACGCTCTGAGAAGGGCGCGGCGCCCGAGGCATCCTCCAAGGCCGCCAGATCTCAGGGACTCCCGACTCATCCGCGCCTGATGGTATCTTTGACCTGGCTTCGTCTTAAACAGGGAACCTGAGGACACTCCAGTTCGTGCCTCAAGGGCACGGTGGCAGATAAGATACACGTTTGCAGTGTAATGATGCAGGTGGCCAAAGTCTGGTCAGCCAGTGAGCAATCGAGACGAGCTCCTCCAAGTTAAGTTCATTGCCCTTGAGAGTGCGAGGGGTGCATGCAGTGGAAACCCATGCCAAGAAGCACTGCTGGCCTGCAGGGTGCCCTGGGTTTCTTGGGGTTCGATGGTTTTGCAATAGGACGCGTGACGTTCCCACACCAAAAATAAATGAACGTCCTGGGGTCTCAGGGTTCGGGGTTTCTTGTGGAAGGTTTCTTGTGGTCGAGCTCCCACTATACCCTTCCGCACTCTCGAGGGCAGCCTTGAGGTCGTCATTGGGGGCCCCTCTCTGGCACTGCTCAGAAAGTCAGCCAAGCCTCCCCGATGCTGGCATGCACCCCAAACGCATGCAGATCAATTCTTCACGCTTCGCATACGGAAGGTTCGCGTCGTGTCGACCGGCGGCGACCCCGCCGCCGGCGTTCAAGGTTGAACGCCGGCGGCGGCCTGGAATCGCTCCAAGTTGAACGGTCTGCCGTTTGGGAAACGGCCGATCGTTCAAGGTTGAACGATCCACGCGGGGTCGGGAACCAACGCCAGGGTCGACACGGCACGGACCTGCAGTACCCCCACTGGTGTCTCGGGGTTCCGCGTCTGGCGCCCGGCGTCCTGCGCGCGCCCGATCGCTGGGGTTGGGGGGGTTGCTGGAGGTGCCCCCGGCCCACGGTGCCCTCTTGGCTTTTCGGGAGCCTCGAGACGGGGGTCAGTGCAAACGGGGGTCAGCCAGAGCGCCCCGACCTTGCAGGATCCTGCAGGGCCAGGGTCGCATTGACCCGGGTTTGGGTGCAGGATCCTGCCGGATCCTGCAGGATCCTTCGCATTGACCCGGGTTTGGGTGCAGGATTTTGCAGGATCTTGCAGGACTCTGCAAGGCCTGACTGACCCGGGTCTGGATTGACCCGGGTCAGCAGGTCCCCGAGGCTTTTCGTTCCATGTTTGAGCCCCTGGGCCCCCTGGGCCTGGTGAGGAGGCCCGGGGGGCCTCCCTGGAAATCCTGGGGACGCCCTGGGCCAGGGGTGCTTCCAGCAGCACCCGATCGGGGGCAGCGGCACAGTCCACCCGCATGGCGAGGACGAGCAACTTTCTAAGGTTACCCTTGCATCCTTCCCCTTCGGCCCATCCTTGGCCGCTTTCGCTGGCCGCGCCTCGCCCGCAACGTGTCGACCTGGCCTTCCGAGGCCCTTGCATCCTTGTCGTGCGCCCTTATTAGACGGGTTGACTGTAGGGGGGGGATTGGGGTCCGAGGGAGGGGGGGCGGGGGGGGAGGGGGGATAGGCTCCGAGGGGACGGCGAACCGACCTCGGGCCGCCTTTGTTGGCCACCGGGCCGCCCCTTCTCCCTCCTCCTCCTCCTCGTCCTCCTCCTCCTCCTCCTTCTCCTCCTCCTCCTCCTCCTCCTCCTCCTCCTCCAGCCGAGCTCCCCTTGCCCTCCTACATACCAATGCTTGACTGACGCCGTCTCGATGGAGACGGCGGCGATAGGCAGAGGATAGAAATTCTAGACGCTTCGCGTATCCCCACCAGCCCGTCCAGAAACGACGCCCAGGCGAGTAGAGGGTCGTCCTGAGGGACTTTTCGGCGTCTTGGGTGCCTCGGGGGGGCCTCTGTGGGCCGTTCGGATCCTCTTTGGGGCCTCCTGGGGGCCTCTTGGGGCCTCTTCGGGCCATCTTGGGGCCTTTGGGGGCCTCCTGGGCGCTTCTTGGGGCCATCTTTGCCCCTTGGGTGCCTCTGGGGGGTCTCTTGGGGCCTCTTGGGGGTCTCTTGGGGGCCTCCTTGGGGCCTCTTGGGGGGCCTCTTGGGGCCTTGAAGGCCCTGCTGGGGCGCTCTTGGGGTAATTTTGGAGGACATCGGCCAAGGAAGTGGGGTTCCTTAATTAGAGCCCCCCCCCAGGAGCTCCAAACATCGCTTCCTGGACCCCTCTTGGATCGCTCTTGGAGCGCTCGTGGCCGCTCTTGGCGCCAACCTGAGGCTCTCTTGGGCCCCTCTTGGAGCTATCTTGAGCCATCTTGGAGCCATCTTGACGCGTCGGATGTGCATCGCAAGCGAAAAAGTGAGAACACCAACAACATTGATTTTCCCTAGGGTTTTGAAGCATTTTCGCCTCTTGGATGCATCCTAATGATGCTCTTGTGGGCACTTGGAACCGTCTTGGGGAGTTCTTGGAACGTCTTGGAACATCATGGGGACCATCTTGAGGCATCTTGCGCTATCTTGAGCCATCTTGGAGGGTATCTTGGGCTCCCTGAGGCCCTCTTGGAGCCGTCTTGGGCCATCTTGGGCGCTCCAACGCGCCGCGGAACCCCCTGTCCAGGTCAGTGGGGAGGGGGTAGGGGGAGGGGTAAACCCCTCCCCGAAGGGGAAGAAGGAGGGGTGGAAGAGGAAACTCGTTAAACCACCGACGCCCAGAGGGCTGGTGGGGTGCTGAAGAGGACTCCTGCAGGACTCCTCTCCTCCTCCTCCTCCTCCTGCCTCCTCCTCTTCCTCCTCCCTCCTCCTCCTCCTCCTCCTCCTCCTCCTCCTCCTCCTCCTCCTCCTCCTCCCTCCCCCTCCTCCTCCTTCTCCTCCTCCTCCCTCCTCCTCCTTCTCCTCCTCCTCGGGCTCGAGTTGGCGGTCCTTGTCCTCCGTGAGGTGTGGCCGTTGCGGTCCCCCAGCCCGACCGGCTGGGTTGGGGACGGGGGGGGGACGTCCAGGAGAGAGCGGTCCTCCTCCTCCTCCTCCCCCTCCTCCTCCTCCTCCTCCATCCTCCTCCTCCTCCTCTTCCTCCTCCTCCTCCTCCTTACCTCCTCCTCCTCCTCCTCCTTCTCCTCCTCCTCCCCCTTCTCCCCCCTGCTCCTCCTCCTCTCCTCCTCCACCTCCTCCTCCTCCTCCTCCTCCTCCTCCTTGTCCCGACATCCTCCTCCTCCTCCTCCTCCTCCTCCTCATCCTTATGCTCATCCTCATCCTCATCCTCATCCTCATCCTCATCCTCATCCTCATCCTCATCCTCCTCCCGACATCCTTCTCCTCCTCGGGTTCCCCAGCCTTACCGTCTGGGTGGGGGACTGGGGGGACGTCCAGGAGAGAGTGGCACCGCACGCTCCTCC